TATTAATTATTCTTCCGATTTTACATACTATTGCTTAAATTATACATAGATGTCATAACTAAAATATTACCTGTAATTGCTTATTGAGTTCGTAAACAGACAATTCACTGACCCTATGGATGCTACTCAACTACCATTGGTCATAAGAAGCACATAGTATTCTAAATTATTGAGATTTATTTCCATCTCCTGTTCTACCAGTTTAAAAATATTTTTTTGATTATTACTAGCATTCAAATGATGTGTTTTCCTATTCGCTTATTGTCTTACTAATAAATTTTTTAACTCCAAAGTCCTCTTTCATATTCTGTGATTTTCTATCTGTCCTTCTCATTTCTAAACCGCATACCATCTGACCAGTATCTTATAACCCATACAATTAGTTAACTTCACTGCAGTGTGAGGCAATAACTGAATGTCTGTCCCACAGTACAAAAGCTTTATTAGTCTAGTTTGCTTGTAACATGGATCTAGTAGAAACATTGTGTTTCAGTGAGGTATGTGTTAGGATGTGCAGAAAAATATACCAATAATTATCATATTAGTTCTAATGGTGGCCTTGAACTTTAAATGTACATTCCCTATTTGTCGATATTTATTTCACTTGTTAAATACTGTACAAATGTTGTTTTCTATTTTATGGTACGATATGGTCTGGTTGATCGGTATATAAATAGAGTGTGTCTGAAATATAATGATTCATATCTCAGAGGCTGTGACTTGTGTTACGAACTCAACTGGCTGGGCTAGACAGCGAAGCAGGGCCAACCAGGACTCTAGGTCGTCCTTACGTGTTTACGTGTCACTGAATCGATCGATAAATACGCTGCTCCATCTAAACTGCAGTCACACGTTACAATAGTATGCAACACAGAGCCAAGATTAAAACTATTCATACATACCACAGACGTAGGAGAGCCTAGTATCACAAGAGGGGGGCAAGTAGCGTTACCGACCAGCAAACATAATGGTGAGAGATAACGTCAATCTAACCTTGTTTGTATGGCAGGACATTTTATTAGCATACGGTCTAGAGGGATGTCACGAACCAGTGGTATTGATGTTAATTTATTATGCGGAATACCTCTTCAACCCATGTTTGCAACCTTGGTTCGGTTTCACTTCTCACTGAGGAATCCTATTGCAAGAAATACTAAACAAATACGCTAAATAGGAGTCCACTTATAACTTTACAAAATTACAACAATAAAGAGTATTTCCCCCTCACTCCAAAAGCATAAGGACACCCTGGAGTGTATCCAACGGCGAGCCACAAAATCGGTTCGAGGACTCAAATTTAAACCTTACGAAGAGCGCCTCCATTCACTTAACCTTTACCCATTAGAGTATAGACGTCTTAGGGGTGACCTTTTGATGGCTTAAAGTATCCTTAAGAATTCTGGACATCCTCTCGAACACCTACTTAAGCTTAGTTCCAACACTAACCTAAGAGGTAACACCCAAAAACTGGAGACACAACATAGCAGAACGGACTGTAGACACAACTTCTACTCCTTAAGAGTTTTCAATTGCTGGAATGCGCTGCCGGTCGAGCTAGTCCAATCGACTTCTCAGGAGTCATTTAAGAGGCAACTTGATCTATTCTTAAGGACTAAGGATAGCATCACACAATGATTTACTAATTTCCTTTACACTTTTATTGTTAACTTACCTAGGTTCCTGCCTGGAGGATTTGGTGATCCCCTGCTACTAGACACGGAAGCCTGTTAAGCGAAAGCTTCTTCCATTCCGTTCACAACCATTTGAACCATTTGAATTAATACACATAGTTCCCTCCATTATTTTAAAGAGAGCAAGAACAAAGGTTAGTGCACTAACATTTGAATTAAGTTTGATGAAAAAAAATCCAGTTGGCATTCAAACACAGTTTTTTGCAAAATTTAAAAACTACACAACCCTAAACTTTTAGCCCCGTTAAATCAATTCTATTTGTACAATCTTTCATTCAATGCCATACTTTGTCTGTTTTTATGTAACCTGATGAGACATAATTGCTTGGAACATGATCCAATAAAAGAGAATGAGTCTAAGTATTCATATATTAATTGTTCCAATACAAGTGACTAAAATTCACTAGTCATGAAAACTATACATCCTGCTTTTCGTCCTTCCCTTTTTCAGTACCCTCTTGGTATACCACCGAAAACATATGTGGAGCACATGGCTTCGCCCTACGCCGTCACTAATACCTCCAGAATTTATCTGTAATCGCCATCAAGAAAAAGAAAATAATACGTTGAATTTGTCGTCTTCAAGCGACTGCACTGGACTTTAATTGCATTCATTCTCGGCCAGTAATTACTTGTCGCAACGCAACTCCAATCATACACGCCATTTCTCATATTGAACATTAGAGTCCTACTGACATTAATATCCTAATATATGAAAATTCATACCCGATTTATATAACCAATTTGCCTTATATCAGCGTAATCGAGTAACGCAATAAAATCTGAAGAATTTGTAACAATTTTATCCTGCCTGTAAACTGGAATTCCTCATGTGACGTATTGTTATCTGAGAATATATGTTGTTATTATTACCAACGGGACAAATGAAACTCAAACCTTACCATCTTGCACGTGTATTTGTTTAAATGTCATAACACAAATCTTCGCGAACGTCAAAACCCTGAAGTAAGCACTGTAGTGTCATTGGTGCCTAACCAGAAGATCTTTTAAGCCGAGTATATACTTGCCAAAAAGATTTACGTTCAACGTATGACGCCTATAGAATTTCAGCAATGGTGAGTGCGGGAACAATCGATCGGTATGGAATGGCTCGGCCTTGTAATTGTGGTCATTACGTGCAACTTATCTTTATCCACACAAAACATATCCAAAGGCCTGTTATTATTGTAGTTCACTATTATCAGTAATTACAACGAGATTATTGAAGCTTTTCGGAATAGTTGCTGCACACGAACCAACAAAAGCACTCCAGTTAATTCTATGTAAACCAAAGAACGAAATGACAAAAGACGAAAAACTAAACATTATCCATAAAATAACTTGTTCCCACTGCAAAAGACACTACATCGGACAAAATGAACGTCCCCTTGATCTTCACCTACATGAACAGCAACTAGAAGTCGATCGCATGACGTATCCTCGCTTATACCAGTACATGTGGACAATTGTGTACACATTCGAAAGAAAAAATGTTGAGATCTTGGATCGAGGGAACTCTAAATGCATATGAGATTTTTTAGAGGCCTGGTACCCATGTCGATCGACAATCGACAGACACACTGAGACCAATCCATCATAACAACTTCCATTCTACCCAACGCTTGTGCTGATGATGTCGTCCAGAAGAACGATGAAAGCTTCACGACCAAACCATCCAGTTTAAACTAGTAAAGTCCATCAAATTTTGCACAGTACAACTCTGCGAGCTTTATAGCTCACTAGTGCTACTTGTCTGGGCTATCCCACACCAATAATATTTATGGCTTTTGTGGTTAGAACTGTGCCCAACCAATTTGTTATATTTGAATTAATTATTAATAAGAACGAACGAGTACTTAATGTTTCACTAGACGCTATACAGAATAGAAACCATATCAGTTCTCAATTGACGTACGATGTTTCCTAAATTATATTTCTTGACGTTTTCCTCGAGAATCTAGGCCAGCGCTAGTGAAATAATACGTTACTAGAGAACGAAAAATGACTGTTTTACAAAGGGAATTGAATAAAACCAAATATTAATGAACAATAATAGTGTCAACAGAAGCTCTCCTTTGACATCTCTCGAGAAACAGCATTTTCTAAGTCAGCTTTCAGTGATTACTTGCCTATGGAAAAGGCCATTGAAAACTCGCATTATTTATGGCGTAAGCAAGATGTCTCTCAACTCGAAAGAGGGCGCGATCCACAAAAATTCTCCCTTTATTAGTCTATAGATCTAAAACGTGGTCTATGTGAATAGTGCCGTCACGTAAACTTCGGGTTTTCGATCATACGGTAATAGTGATTCTTGACAGTGATGTAATGTTCGTCGGTGAGGTTGTAAATGTTCATGAATGAAAGTGGTTTTGACACACGTTACATATGTCAAGTCACTACCGACTTCGACAAACAATGTTAGCCAGTGTATAATTACACTGGTGTAGCGTCTGGTTGGAAACTCTGAGTGATATGAACCAGGATCATTCACAAAGGCTCAGATGCATTTATTTTTCACTTTTCTCCTTATATTCAACATCTTCAACATCCCTTCACAATTGCTTCCTTATCCTATCTTGTAGAACCGCGTCCAATCTTTTCAATATGATGTTCGCCGTATTATTTAGATTACTTTGCTATTTGTATTTCTGAATTCATCTTGTGCTAGCATGGTCTGGCAAAATGAGTTTATGTTCACCACTGAAAAGCTTTGGGAGAATACTTCCTGGATTTTAGTAAGACGCACAGTATAATGTGTGAGAAGGGTGTCCACTGAAGACAGTGGAAGATGGTGAAACACTATCGTGGACTGATTTGTACAACATTAAATACTGGATCAGTGGTCTATATTGTTAAGCACTTGTGTATGAAACTGAAGGCGTAGGATTCGATTTCTGCTTGCATTGTCTTGAATGCGCACTTCTGAAGAGTCATGTACTAGGGAGAATCGTACGTCCAGTGCTTTCGGGCCGCCAAAATTCGTAAAAGTATGGCGGGCTTGTGATATCAACGAAACCCGACAATCTTCATAACCATATGATGACAATCTAAAAGTATACCAAACCTACTAGGATTACTAACAAATCAATGGATTAGCCATTTGAAAGATTCTCAAGACTTGATACTGATATGTAACACCAAGATGCCTTCGCGGTGAATGTTAGACTAACTGATTAGAATAAGTATAGTTATAAACCGTTTGGACTCCCTATGCATAAAATTCATCGTATGGCACTTGGATTTTTACTTCTTCAAAGTTGGGAGTTAGATTATTGTACAAGAGAAATTTTCATTGTTATTGTTTGAGGAGTTAATTTGTTTTAGTGGTAAGAAAGTTTTTTAACTCGTGTAAGGTCATTTGGTCTTACTGGCTCGTCTGGATCTGTCAAAGTAGGAGTAATGGGTTCGAGTTCTAAGCGGGAGCGTTGTGATTCCCAGTCACTACCCGAGAGAAACTCGTTGAACGGTGATGATATCGAGCACGAAGGCGATATTCTTACTCCATTCACCTATCAATGTAGGGTTTCAACGTTGCAGTATTTTAAGGTGCTAGTTGGCATGATTGATTATTTTTAATGTAGATGTACTTGCTCACTGTAACAATACTCCCTTTTCGTGCTTTGATAATTGGTTTCCTTTTCATTGCTACACTTCTCGTTGCAAATATATTCTGGATTGTATACGGCTCGAAATCTCAAGTAAAACCTATCTGCGACTTTAGAAGGTATTATATTGTACGTTACATGTTACCTTTAGGTGGCTTATCCTGCCGATCGTACGTATGTCTGCTCGACTTGTCTTCTTTGTCGGGGGATTCCATTGGATTAAAATCCAAGGAATACGTGCGTCACGTAAAGAAGCGCCTATTATGGTTATTGCACCTCATTCATCCTTCCTTGATGCTCTTCTTGTTGTGGTTCTTGGCTTGCCATCCGTTGTGGGAAAAACGGAGTCAGCGGAATCTTTTGTTGGTGGATTTGTCAGGATGCTCCAACCCATTCTGGTTAACCGAGAAGATCCCAATTCCAGGAAGAAAGCAATTCAAGAGCTTATTCGTCGTGCAAAATCAGAAGAGGATTGGCCTCAGATTGTTATTTTCCCGGAAGGCACTTGCACTAATCGAAGCTGTATTGCAACGTTCAAACCAGGTAATCATTCCTACCTTTATAATCACAAACGTGCCAAATTTGCAAGTTTGCCTAGCTCACGCTATTATAAGTACTGCATATGTTTATTATATTTACTGGCTGTCATCCTAGTATGTGCTTATCAATTTTTTTGTAAACCGTAACTAAGTGGTTGGCAGTTGTATTTTCCTTCAATTTCCTATTTCTCACCTTTTAAACGCCATGTTGGCTGAAAAGTACCCTATCCAAGGGTTTAGTTGTATTGTGTGAAGCGTCGACTAAACAGTTAAAACATTCATCTTTCAATTACCTTATTGCGGGTCTGAACTTCTCTTATGTATTTTATATTTTATCAGAAGGCTAATATCTGTGGCCTTCATACAGGTTGGATACAGTGAGTTGCGATAATAGATTGTTGTATAGTCAGTAAACGCAACTAAAATGCTGATATGCACATTTTATTTGTCTCTGTAGTTAGTTTAGGGATTTTGTGCAGATTTTATTTAGACGCATGTTGAAACTTCTAAAAGAGGTAGTCGATAAAGGTTAGGGATCGCTTGTTGATCACCTCCTGCTTCGATTTGGGCACCCGGGCAGTATCACAGCCCTCACACATACCAAATGAAATTTGTGTGGCGCATATGTATTTGGAGCCTACTTGTACCAATATCTGTGTGTGTTGATCATCACCGTTGAGTCAAAGGGGCAAATAGCACAAACCATATTATTAACAGATAGTCATCATGTTTTCATCTTGTCCTGATAAAGGCGATCACTTGCGTGCAAAACAGGTACTCTAAATACATAAATAATAATCATTCGAACTGAACGTTGATGTAAGCTGTAAGTTGCCACAGGTTATCAGCTTACACATTGGCTCGCAATTGCCATGATGCATTTTTTAAAAACATTTTTCGCAACAGATGCCTAACTCATATGTTACTAGTATTTTAATATTGTCTGAAATGTTAAAACTCGTGGGTTTGTGTCCCTAATAGTGAATAAAATAATGATACCACCAATTAGAGAACAGTGAGTTGTCGACCGGACCAATGACGCATAAAACCCGTACGAGCAGTCTAGAGTCTTTACCGGTCCTTCTTCGTTCCTAGCCCTGCCTGTTAAGTCCAGAACACCAATCTCAGCCTCCATGATATGAATCATGTATTTCAAACATACTGGGTTTTTATCCAAACCAAAGAGACTACATCGCATCACAAAAAAGAAAACATCTTACAATATTAGCCAAAAGTGGCTGTGAATGTGGAATAATGTAATTAATAGACTGGGCATAACTCGAAAATGGTAAATCATATAATAATAGTCTATGGGTCAAAATAAAGCTTTGATTAAGAGGAACATGAATATGCTTATTTTAGCTACTTTATAATTATACAACAAAAATATATGTATCGTACTGGTCCACAAATAGTCCTCAAAATTTACCATTCATAATTCTCGTCGGGATATAACACTAGTAAAGTAGCCTAATTAGTCGTCATTTTGCAGAGTTTCTAATACATTTGTGTTATTTATTTACCTTTCAGAGGAAAAAAATAAACCTACTGCTTTTTTGAATTCATAGTAGTTAATTCAGTGGTGGTAATATATAAAAGAAAAATTGCATATGATAATACAGGAAGTAAGAATTAGTTAGTAGAAAGAAAGATATGAAGCGGTTTTAATATCGCCTAAACTTATATTGGTATTGAGTTTTAGTTTATATTGGTATTTCATTTTTACTACCATTAAATCAATTAGTTATGCAAATCTCTTACATTGTTCCATATCACATCTTTACTTTTTATGGGTTAGACACACATTATTTTGGTATCCAAGATAAAGTTTATGAAATTTTCCTTAAACCTTCTGCTACTCAATAGTTGTTTAGCTAAAACCAGTAATTGTTCGAACTGAGACAAATTTTGTTTGATAATTACTTGGTGGGTTTGTAACAACTACACTAATTCAATGGAAAATCGACTGTTGAAAAACTGAGTGCCTGAATGTCAACATGAATCATGACACTAAATAAAGCTGTTGACTGCCTAAATGTGTTACGTGATCAAAGTGCATGTTGAAATAATTCTATCAAGCGTTATCAAATGTGCATACTGTTTAGGGATTTCACACAAAAATAAATTGGTGAGCTTATGAATTTAACAGCTGTTTTGTTCGAAATTTTATTTCTAGGGGCTTTTAATGCAGGTGTACCGGTTCAACCAGTAATCGTTCGCTGGCCAAATAAAGTGGTAAGTGGAGTCATGACACTCATTGTACGTATACCAAAATATTAAACTTTTTAATAATATTGTCTTAGTATCTGTTTTTCTCTAATATCCAACTTGGTAGCTTGGGTTTGCTCGTAAATTCTTGAAACCCTCAATGTTGGAAAATTATTCTGAATACGCTTCATCTCCTCATGGATTTTTGTTACATTTACAAAATAACAGGAGTTCAATCAACATGAGTGTTTCCTTTTCAAGAATGTATTGGGCTGGTATTCATGTATTTTCCTATCATATGTTTTATATTGCTGATGTACAAACCATTCCTGTCTCTCGATGAAAGCGCTTAAATGAGCTTTTCAATCGAGTGTTAAATACTTGAAATTTCGTGTTACTGATGACAAAACTGCAGCTGAAACCTATTACATAGAAGTTGTCAATTGTCTTCTGTTAGCGGAACATAGACTAGATTAAAGCATGCTCAATGCATGATTGCTTTGGTGCACGCTGATTGGCTGATTCTTATCCAATCAGCACTAGTCGATAGTTGGAGAATACTCTGGAATCTTCTTATGTAAAAACTATAAATATACTGACGTTTTCCCTATTGTGCTTCTGACTTGCTTCTTACTTCCATCTAAGCTTGTTATTTGGAATATAATCTCTTCCTGTTCAACCGTGTTTTGATTTGGGGACTTGTCGAGTGAATCGGTGTCCGAGAATACTAAGCAATAGGAATAGCTGGGTCATAACCGTAAGAAAGAGTTAAAACATCTTCCCTCATTATTTTATTATATTTGATCGATGTAGCCCTGCAAACCTTCAAGCTCTTGAATCTCAATTAACGTGGTTTTTATCCAATACGTTTTCCAACCTATGGTTTTATGTTTGTTTCATAAAAACTTAGTGTCAGACTACATACTATTAGCAACCTGAGTTTCTGTGCCATCATTTTCAGATATAAGTTTTTCCATCGTAATATTTTAGAGAACTCACTTTTTATGTTATTCCTCATTGCTGGTCTCAGCATCTTAATCATTTCCGTCTCATTCAATTATTAAATCACCTAACAGTTTCATTTCTCTGATTGTTCATCAAGACACCTCGGGGTTATCCGTGTGATTTCCCGTATGTCCTTAAATTACCCAAATAGGAGATTGGATTTACCCATATGCTCACTTATTATAGTTTAAACTGTTTCAGGAATAATTATTGCTATGAATTGCAAAGATGGGTTTATGCAATTGTGTGTTGGGCGTTTGGCGGTTCGTACATTAACCATTAAGTGAGACAATCAATCATACAAAATATTTCAGATCAATTGACCAGAGACCATCAGTAATAACCTGCTGTGGCAGGAAACAAACCGGCTTTCAGCTTAGAAAATTAGGATAAGGTACTGCAATAATCATCAATTTGCGTCACAAGGCAAGTTTCAACGTGGGATTCCCAAGGCAAAAGAAAACGAGGCAAACCGAATCGCATGGCGCTGTGTTTTGACAACACGTCAGAAGGATCGGTAGCACTTCAACAAGTGGGAAGGAGAGCCCACCACAGAGTTAGCTGGAAATTCCTGGTCGACGGCTTGTGCCTCATAAGGAGTAGCATGCTTAAGTGCAGTGATATTATTACTTTTTGACTGTTAATTCCAAGTCTATTTTTTATTTGAATACAAATATTGGTACAAGAGGGCTGTCTCGACGTGTGATGTTCAGTGGTATAGGAGTAGGTTGAAAGAAAGCTAGAGGCGGCCAGACCAAAACATGGCACAAGTCCATGAAGTCATTGACAAGTGGACTAAGTCATGTTAGTAGGTGTAGACTACCTGGTTGGGGACCGCAAGATGATAGCAACCGATGGTTAGAGACCCTGAATGACATGGCTCAAAATCATTTGCAATGGCGCAGGTGCATCCACTCTCTGTGTTTTCCCAAATTCTAATCTTCTGGATTATTCATGTCCTTTTTTCCTCTTTCCAAATTTATTTCACTGGATTATACTCCTTGAATAACATCTTCAAACTATTTTTTCTGATTACAGCTTATAATTTTACTACATCTAGCACTACGGGATTTGATTCGACCACTGCATCTCCGCGTTAATGTGGTATGGCAACTCGAACTGATGTACGTACGTACGAAGTTCTACGTTGTTACTGACTGACTCACTGACAAGGGGGCACCAAATATACATGTGCCCAGTCGCGAGCAAACATTTAGATCATATTGATATTAATCACTTATTTATTTGGACAAATAAACACTGCTACAAGGAGGCACCAAATAGACATGCGCCACATAAATCATTCGGTTTGTGTAAGGGCTGTGATACTGCCCGGGTGCCCAAACTGAAGCAGGTGGTTCTCTTAGGAGGCCACACCACAAGTCTTTGATATAAAAGTTTGATCCACAAGCCAGTGGAGCAACTTTAGCGGAAGCAACCATATGGTAGCCGGTGACCAATAATTGGTTCATACGCCATTTGTTACTTCAGGATACTGGATCCAATTAGCACCATTGGTTTGGAATCAGGGTTTCCCAACTAACCTTGGTGGACCCTCCGTGTTCACCAACCCGGTTAAAGAGCCGAAGTTTCGCTTTTCGTCCTCTCAATTTCATACACGACCATGCGTATATAGTCTCTGCTAGGGAAGTCTCACTCACTGCCTTCTCGTGGCGGGGTTGTTGTTTACCAAATGAAGAGGACGAAAGCGAAACTCACTTCATGTATATTCATTTTCGAACTTATACATCAGCTCACACATGGCGCAAACTCGGTTCTATCTAAAGGATCTCGAGTCACTGGCTGGTCGAAAATTGAACGCTACCACCGAACACGAATGCTGAAACATTTTTTCTGAAACCAAGTGCACCATTGAAACTGACCGCCTTCAACGTTCGCTCACTAATGTAGATCGGACAACAGATAGGGCTGGCTATGTCCCGACAGATTGCAGCCCGGATAAATTCTACCATGAGTTAAATGTTCTTCTCCAGAAAGTGCGTTCGACAGATATTGTAGCACTAGATTGAGACTTGCGTGCTCAGGTCGGGCGAATAGGCACAGAAGAGAGTCATTTAGTTGGCCAGTGGGGACCCGTTGGTTGCAAGACAGATAACGGGGATCGTCTACTGCAACTGTGCACAGACCACAACCTGTTTCTGGCTAGCACTAACTTCCGGTACAGTGTGCCACCTGACATTCTGCCTCTGCATCTCAAGCCTGAACTAAGATTTATCACATCGCGATGAGCTACCTCTGGCGTGGTTGTGTACAAGACTGACGTTCCTTTTAGAGTACCTATCTGGACTATGATCATGCCCTTGTTTGCGCCAATATTACCTTACGTTTCAGTGGTCAGCAAATTCATTGTCCCAAACGGATGAGTGTCAGTAAAGTGTTACGGGTTAATTTATATACCACAAATCGGCATCCTTAATTGACTTCACTTGACACCTGGGATATCTTTTTTAAGGCATTGTGTAACTCTTATCTAGTGTTGTTTCAGTTGTCTTGAATTCCTGTTTTGGTCTTCGTTATCAAGTAATAATAACATATAATGGCCCCCTAAAATCACCAAAGCGAATGGTGTTTTTGAGAGCTACTTTCTTTTTCCACCCCTTTTTCGTATATCAGCTTATCGAACTTGGAGCGCTTTTGATGGAGCCAATCTTCCCAGGGAGATGCTGATCTGCCTGAAGAATGTGAGTGGCAAGTATGTCTGAAGAAATGGTTCCAGCAATCTTTTAAGTGGAATCCTCAGTGTTTGGTACATGTTTCTTCCCTTCGTACTAATTTAGTACTAAAGCATATGTAGTTTTTTTGTGAATAATGTTTTGAGGTACCATTTAGCTACAGATGTCTTTTAATTTCCATAAGCATATATGGAAAGAGATTACTAAAATATTGTTTCACATGTGTAAATTACCAAACGTACATTTATTTAGTCAACTGAGATATAGTCTAGTGTTACATTTGGTTGCAATGCATTTGGTAAACACTTGACCCTCATAGCCTTGTGGCAATGTTTGCCGTTGAAGTGAGTGCCTAGCAGTCATATCACGTGACCAGCTAGCAAGTTTGTTTTTGAGTGGCTACCTGAAATACACTAAGGATTTGCACTTAACGTTATACTACTTTGTTCTTGATGTGATGCTCTAGATAATACTTTTACCCACCAAATTCACAACGATTCATTTCCTGTCCATAAATAATTCAAGCCGTTCCAAATACTCTGAGAATATGGTTTGGTGTATATGGACACTAGAAAATCTCTTTTTCTTTAGATATCTCGCGAGTCTATGGGCTTTAGACATTTTTTTCACAGTATAGGTATTTCCGGTCCTAAGTTGTTTCTTTCTGCATAGTTCTATTTATATAGAAACGTTTTCATTATGAGGTATAACTTTACCAAATACCACCCGTTAATGATAAACTTTTGTTACCTCACTGATCTGACGTGTCATTGGATGGTTGCATATTGTATGATCGTTTACTTACATACCCAACGCTTTACACTGATATTTGATAGGTCATATTCAATCTGATTGACTGTCTTCGAAATTTAACTTCTTAGTCCTCTAGTTATTCGTTGCATGTAAATAGTAGAATTTTGAGTTCATTTCAAAGGAATATTGTATTAAAATCGCTCAATTCCCCCCCGAAACTAGTAAAAATTCATGGAAGTTGGTTACGGACTTAGTGGTAAACGCAACATAAAAATATGTGTAGTGTGTGACTTTTTTCAGCCACCGTCGCTTTTTAAATTTATTTCTGACTAATGATTCGCACTGCTGAGGAGTCCCATACTGGGACGAAACGGCCGTCCAGTGCTTCCAGGTTTTCCATGGCGGTCTAGCTTCAACTGACTCATGATTACAATCTGTGAGATTCTCTAAACATTGTTGCATGATGTTCCTCCCTTTACTTGTTGTTTACCATCTATCATTAATGTGTAAATAAATATATGTTTCTTTCTTGTATTCCAGGACAGCGTGACTTGGGTCTGCGAAGGTCCTGGTGTGTAAGTAACTGTTAGTTAACCGGTTGATATATTTCCTAACACTGTCTGCAAAATGTATTCACTATAATTTTGTTTTTATCCGGCTTCAAACTAAGATAACACGCTAGAACTGGTTTTAACTCTCGACATTTGTTTAGCGGATTTTTTCCTGTTTACGAAGAAAATCTAAAAATTGTTCTAAATTCGAACCGTTTCATGCCCTCTAAATCCAAGTTGTTACTTCAGCACCAACCAGAGTCAACACCTGAACTAATGATAGGGAGTGGAGTAATCGAACGCGTCGACAACTTCACTTATCTTGGAAGTCTGATCAGCTTTAATGGGTTGGTGTCTGACGAAATCTCTGCACGGATTCGAAAGCTCGTTTGGCTTTCGCCAACTAACGTCACCTATGGCAAATGAGAGATATCCGTCTATCAATAAAAGGACGAGAACACTGCGCGGCAGTTCGTTCTGTTTTAATTTATGGCAGCGAAACGTGGCTTTCGGGAGTTGAAGATACTCGTAAGCTACTAGTATTTGACCACAGATGCCTTAGAAATATCGCTGGCATCTGCTGGGATCACAAGGTAAGTAATAGTAAGGTTAGGTGCATGGTATTAGGGAATGATGGCAAACCAGTTGATGAGGTTGTGAATCTTCATCGACTGAGATGGTTGGGCAACGTATTACGTATGCCTGAACACCGAATACCACGGCGCTCTATGCTGACTAGTGTTGGAGATGGATGGAAGAAATTTAGGTGTGGCCAAATCGAAACGTGGTATCAGTGCTTGAAGTCACTAACTTCTGGTTCGAGCCATGTTGGTAGATGCAGACTACTTGATTGGGATCCGTGCGACTGTCGTAACCAATGGTTGGAGACTCTTGTTGACATAGCTCAGAATCGATCACAATCGCGTCGGTGTATACACTGTTTGTCTTCCCTTAAACTAAGTGATTAAAATCACTTCATGCCTTTCTTTGTACGAACTAATTCTTTCTCGCTGTACTATGTCTTTACATGCGATCTTTCTTCTATATATCACCCCCATTGAAGTAACTGCTTCTATGAATCCAGTGTTCATCTTGTTGTGCTAATGATGTGTGTCAACTTGAACCAATGCATATATGTGCCTGGTCCTACGTTGTAACTGACTGACTGAATTGTTCCAAGCCCCTGTTAGTACATATATTTAGTGTGTAGCTGTACCTGGAAGATCGTTGGGAGTTTTCGTTTGTTGAACGCTAAAGACTGTTGCGTTCATGTTTTTGCTAATCACGTCGGTAATTATAGTTTTATTTATATTGGCGTCGCAAGGCATGTTTTCATTCATATGGACCCCATTAATAATGAATAGTAAATTAACCTTATTGTAAATTAAGTGATCAAGATTGTCACATGTGCAGTTTTATGACATTTACTAAATACATAATATATATGCATTAATACAACAAGAACACTACATACAATTCTACATTCTCACATGTTTCAAACGAATTATTTTAGAACAGTAATCTCATTAACGCATGAGCTGGATAATAATCAATGACAGGCCGGCTAATGTGGGATGTTCAATACGAAAAATTGTGATTAGTTATTATTCATCATATAACTGCGATTTTCAAAATATTTTACGGCTTTGTTATTACTGATAAGCGTATAATTTCGAATCTGACATCTCGATCTAATCAACTGAGCAACCCATTCAAGTGCTCTAAGTTTATTAACATTAACCGCCCAGAATTTTTTTGGCATTTTATGACTTAATACCAAGAGTCTGAACAAGATCCTTGGAACAAATGTACTCCCAACTTTCTGTTAATCATTTGGTAACATGATATATGAAAACTTTCATCTGGTTTGAAGGAAAATAATTCCATTTCTTTGATAAAAATCTGGTTTTTAAGATGTAGGATTTGGTTATTTTATTCTTATTTTCACCAATGAACTGCCTGCTTAATAACAAATATATTTTTGTCATATCCCAGTGAGTAGAAAAATTGTATTTCTGACGTTTCGTAAGTTATTGTAAGGCACTTCTTCAGAGCAAATAAATCATCGACATTGAATAAACACAAGTTTTAAACTCTGACGAAGTGTCTTACATTAAGTCGCGAAACGCCAGAAATACTATTTTCCTACTCATTGGGATATAAAGAAAATACATTTATTGTTAACTCTACCGAATGTTCAATTTATTTGAAACTTTCAAGTCGAACTTTGCTATGTATACCTAAGAAGTGATTGCTTGTATCACGTAATTTATTAAACCTATTTTTTCTCCCTCTCATCAATGCCCTAAGGTTTAAGTTACTATGGTTGTTGCTGTCACAGTTCAACAATAGATTGGAAATCGAAGTAAGTTATCTGTGTTTTGTTTAGAAAAATATTGAATGTTAATAAAAAATAATTAATTAAGGTAATAATTGAGAGAGGTTCTCCACACTGATTATTATGTCAGGTATGGTCCTGAATATAAACCAGTAACGATCGTACTGTAATGTCTTTTTTACAGTTTTCGTAACAATGAAATGATCATCAACTGAAAAAATGTCCCTTAAGTATATTTTTGACTATACTGTACATTTTACTAAATGTTATTTCTGTTGGTTACTTTTTTTTCACTATATCGTCTCTCCTTTATTTCTTCACTCTTCCCTTCATTTGTGCTGCACATGTAAAGGAATTAAAATTGATGAGTTACGGATGAATTGTGTTCGTGCTCTTTTATATCCAATATTTAGTAGCTTATCGCTCAGCTTTTGGGTGCATTGTATGTCGCAAAGCTGTTAAAAAACCGTGCCTTAGTTTGATGGTATCAATTTACACAATTGTCACAAGAATATGAAATTGAGTTGAATAGATTACAGGAAAATCCTATGTCGACAACATCATAGCGTAATAGAATTTGTGGGCATACTGGATTCAGTTAGTTATGCTTTGATGAACACAAAAATCATACTAATAGACAAAATATGTGTTTAGGTGGGCAAAGTTTTCGTTTTTTTGTTGGGATGTTACCAATCATGTTTTGTGCTTCAGTCAACAACTGCGTAGATATGAAATAAAGATGATTTTAATTAATACCAATCACATTTTATTGAACTAATGTTGAATTGAATTCTAACCGATTATGATGAAAAGAATTTTACAATAAAAGCCAGTAACTGGTCATTTTTTCACTATATTAAAACATCGACTTCGGTGGCTTAGACATGTATTTTATGTATGTCGTCCCAGAGAATTCCTCGTCGTGCATTATTTGCTGACGCTGGGACTGGTTAGAAAAAGCGGAGAGGTGGTCAGTGTATGACATGGTGTTTGTGGTATGAAATTGTTGTACAGGACTGGCTTCTGTTGGTGTTTCACGACTCCCATTTTGGGGTCCTGGAGATGGCGCGACACAGTGGCTAGAGACGTTATCAGATATGGCTCAGAATAGAAACCAGCGATGATCGTGTTGTAATTTTCTTTACTTCATAAACTAAGCGTTACTTCTTTAACTGAAAGATTTCTTTCTGGTTATATTTTTGCTAACTGAACTGTTTCTCCCACTATCAATTATTTAAATATTATTTCTCTCTCATACTCTAATTTCTTTTCGTTTTAGTTTTTTATTATACACACTTTGCATTCTCTATCTCTTCACAATCTCATTGTTATTTATGTAGCGCATATGTATTTGGTGCTTACTTGTACCAATATTTATGCGTTCAAAGAAATAAAGATTTATTATGAGCAATTATTTTGGGTGTTTTAACATATCTTTCAATTTTTTTTTATTTCAAAGTTTTTACCAGTTTATCAACCAAACGAAGATGAACAAATGGACGCTCAATTATATGCTAATAATATCCGTCGGATCATGGCGGAGTCAGTTCACTTTCTGTTTATTTATTCTTAAAATTAGGGATGTCTTAAACATATTTATTCTTGGTTCTTTTAACGAGTTAAAAAACCTGTGACAGTAGAATACAAATGTATTAATACATTTCAATTTTGAGATGTAGAGACTTATCCAGCGAATTTATCCGTTCGTAAGAGGAATTAAACAACTCAGAATCTTTATAAAAACCAAAAAACATCGAAAAATGCGAAGAAAATGTGCATAGATTATTTTCATATACTTCCTTGTGAGTAAAGGATGAATGCTGTTCAACTACAAAAATTGTTGTTTTTCTTACTGTTTATACAAGTAATTTTTGGTATATTGAACGGTTCACAACAGTTTTTGTTTTTTTGTGATCTGAAGTTTGTTAAAGAAAAGCTAAAAATATTATTAACACAGGTTATGGAACCTGGAGTTATAATAAGTTGGGAAGAAGTGTATGCTAAGGAATAAATGCGAATATGACTATACTATTCAATGGAAGAATATAGATTTCGTTGACAATACAAAAGGCTATTGAGTTTTGGGACTTGCATCAACGGTTTTAGAGAATCGCTTTCAAAAAATCAGCTGAATACACTAAAATCCGTTTGTATTATAACGAGATTAAATTCAACCAGAATAAGTCATTTCGTTAAATAATCCGTTTCGCCATACATAAGAATTGTCAATAAATACATTCTTTTGTGTAAACATTTATGTAGTTTACGTGGTAGAGTTTTCCAACAAATAATGTTTAGTCTTCATGTAGAATACTTATTCGTTTCTTACCTTTTTAAACTATATTTAGACATTTGAATGTCCCACTCTGCGATTTATCTTACGATGACTTCTGTCAAATCAGAATAGCATTCAAATATAAAATACCAGGATATGAAACAGTAGTTTATTTGAACTCTTTACTCCAAATGATGTTGTGAGTGTTTTTTATCAATTTTTCTCTTTTGTCTACATAATCAGTTACAATTTTTTCTGGTATGCAAGAAAACTATGAGAATCCTGTACTTATATTATTCCGTTTACGATAACGAATTTGCTGACCACCAAAGTACAGAATAACTGACACACTGGAGTATAATCAAAATCTAAGGCGATATTGTAGATGCATCATGTGTTACATTTTCTCATGTCAGTTGATTATGGTTACGGAACTAGTTCATTAGGTAGCGAATTTACAATGACTGTTCTGAATCATGATAGTGACCAGAAATATGTGGTCTGCACACAGCTTTTAATGAGTCATCGTTGTTTTATTAGTAATTATGAAGTTTGTGTTAATATTCCAAACTATTCTTCTCGGTCCCTAAATCTCTGGTCTGGTTATACCAACCTCTAACTACGGATACAGTACTAGTCAAACGGTCTGTGTTATGAGATTATTCATTTGTTAGTCAAAATCATCATTGTGTATGTACTTAGACTAAAGTCTTTATTGTAGACAATTATAACAGCGAACTGGCGATTCCCTTACTAATTATTACTTGCTTGAATTTAATCTTCTAGCCTAGCAGTGTATAAACGGCTGTACGGATTTGCAACGTAATCTTATAGTCGATAGATGGCGAATGAATTCGTAGTAATTAATGCGAGTCTAGACCAAGAGCCTTATACATACATTCTTAACTAGATCTGACTGTTTTTCGCACTCCATCAAAGCACAAAAATCAAATATACCAGGTAACAAACATTCTCAAAGTACCATGAAATTAAGTACTGAGCGTCCTTTTTGAAAAAAAACCCAATTATTTTTCGAGATAAGACTATCTAATGGGGATAAAACTTTCGATCGTAGCAAGTCGTTAATTAAGACATATTCAAATCAAAGTAAGTACGAGTATAAAGCTCGCGGAAATAAAAGGTAACAAAAATGTAAAGTTGTGTTAAATAGACTTGTTCATCACAAGATATTTACAGTTTTGAGCATTTGTCTGTAACTTGAGTAAATGTTGGTCGTTTTTTAAACTTTAGTTGTAGATGTGGTAGCTATGATACCATCTGGTGGCTAAATGTGAACAGACGGTTTTTATGTAAATGTTGTTAATAACTAATTTAACATTTAGTTCTCGAAATATTTCTGTAATACAATTTATGTTATAGTGCGCTTGAACATAATTGTGATTTGATAACGGATGAAGATAAACAAGCGGAATGGTTTCAAAGACGTCTTGAAAGCATGCTTGGTGTATGCCGACATAAACCGTACTTATCACGAATGGAATTTACTCAAACACTATTTCAAACAAGTCAACCTAATTCAAAAGCTAATTATCTAATCAATTTAGTTGTGAAATATTATAGTGATCCAGTAAGTTTATTTTGTTTCAGTCCTTAGAGTTGGTAAAACATTCTCGAATACACCGACATTGAACATTTTTAATCGTAAGAAATATACTTTATTACATGTACGAAACGGCATCACAAAACAAACATCGTAATAGCTAGGGTTGTAAATATTCCCACCAATCTCAACTTTGTTGTATATGTGGTTGTAAAAATAATTTGTGTTTTTCAAAAAAAATAATTCAAGTTGTCTGTGGACCTTCTCAGTAATAAATTGTAATCTTTTACATTTGTTCTCTGATTAGACAGGTGTATACTTGTAAGTATAACTTATGGAAATCCATGTTTTGTTATTTTTTGTAGTCATCAAATAATCTGAATTTTCGTATGTGTATGGTTCATACATCTATGCTACTATTTCCAAAGTTGCCTCATCAAGCATTTTACTATGCTACAAAGGTATGCTCATCGTTGTATTGTTTCGGATAGATTCTCACCTATACTGTTTATGTTGCTTTCTGTTTTTATTATTGTTACTACTACTACTACAACCACAACTATAAATGCGTATCCATTGATAGTCTACTAAATCACTTTTATTTTGAAGCATTATTCATGAATAAATTCATTGTATATTGGTCATTTCTAATGTACTTAATGGAAAAACAATTGTCTTTTACACGAGTAGTGTAAATATGTCGAAAAATGCTATTCATTTAGTTTTAAAAAATATATCACAGTAAATATTATTCAGCTATGTACCTGAAAACGAATATGCTTTTCAGTTACAGAGAGGTAATAGTTTTCAGATTTTTTTATTAGACTTTTTTCGGCGAGTCATTGGCTATGTAATCCATCTACGTAACTGTCTGTTTACTTAATCACTTATGTAGATTTTGAAAACAGATACCCTAATTAAGGTTGAAACTATCTTCATCAAGTGAACAAACATGGTGGATGATAAGAGTTGGATTTTATTCTTGTTATTTCTTTCGCTAATTATTCTGCATAAGCTACGAAATGTTATTTCTCCAAATCTAATTGATTACCGTTTAGTTTCAATTTTAAATAAAACAACAATTTGATGATTTATGAATTCGTTTTGATTTTTTCAACTCTCGATTCATTCAGACTATCTATGCTAAACTTCAGTATGAATCGTCTAATTTACACTTCATCCACTGTAATAATATTTGTCTATAGGTTTGTTCCGGAAATGAACACTAACAGTTGATTGTTGTACCGAGGAGCTACTCTCATTATTATTTAGTCAACTTATTCATAGAGAAATTTAATCTGCTTGAATGATGTTGGAGAGAGTCCTCTCTCTCCTTCTCTAAATGCTCTCACATAGCTACTCGTATACAACCACTGCCAGGGAAGTCTTACTGACTACTCTATCCCGGCGGGCTGGTTGTTTACGAAATTGAGAGGACACCCGGGTAGTATCACAGCCCTCAATCAAATCAATTATAACTACGTCCGGAAAAATTCTATCGCTTCAACGCTTTCTCATACAAATCTTATTCACAATCTTATGGTGACAATCGTTCTTCTACAGAAAATGATTTCAACCTATATTGTAGTAATATCCGGGCACTTAATACTCAGGTTGGGCATCTACGTGCAAAAGAGTTGTGTAGGTGACTGATGGAAACTTATTGGTCGCAGGTCGGATGACGGTGACTATCTACTACAACAGCGCAGACTAAATCCTGTTTCTGGTTAGCACTAACTACCAACATAGTCGTCGCCGATGTGTTGTCTGGCATCTTTTTTCTGCATTTCAAGCCTAAGTTCACATTCACCACATCGCGACCAACTGCAGCTGGTGTAGTTTTGTTCAAGACTGCCGCCCGTTTTGGAGTATCTATCTGGACTCTGATCATGCTCTTGTTTGTGCTAATCTTACCTTGCGCTTCAGTGGCCAACAAATTCATCGTCCTAAACGGATTGATGCCAGTAAATTGTTTGCAGCTTCTGTTTCAACTAAATATCAAATCGAGCTAGGTCCTAGGCTACATACCATGACACCGAAAAGTGTATATGGACATTTACTGCAATTGTATGTCGCCACAAGTAAAGTGACTTCGCTAAATATCTCGCTTATTAGCACTGGTTTTCTTCAGGCTACTTACTACTCAGTGAAGTTCGTCGGTCTACTTCGCATGACTGCGAGTTGGACTATTAACTGTTATGTAATTAACCTTGGTAAAGCTTGTTGAGGGACCGAAATACCTGGCGCTTGGAAACTGCCAACGAGTTGGAAGCTACAGCTGCATATATTGTCGAAAGGTATTTCAACTCGTCCGAGTCACTCGAAGCAAGAAGTCTAGGGTGGGCGAAACAATCTACGAGGATGACGGGATGCCAATCACTAACATCCATCGGCGTCTTAGACGGTGGACAGAGTTCTTCGAAGGGCAGTTCAACTGGTTGGCTGCTCCGACAACATCGATCAGACTATCCTGCCCTCCATGGTCGGTGACGACTGATCCACCAAATGAGGCGGAAGTCCGCAAGGAACTCCAACTCTTGAAACGTTACAAATCACCCCACCCAGATGGCTTACCCCCGGCACTTTTTAAAAATGGTGGTGAATTTCTGGTTAAGGAACTGACTACGTTGTTTACAAGTTCTAGTAATTAGAGTGTGTTCCAACATCGTGGAGTGGGTCGATAGTTGTCCCTATCTTTAAAACGGTTCACAAATTTTTCTGTACCAACTATCAGAGGATTAGTTTACTTCTGATTACGTCCAAACTATTGGCTTCTGTCATACTTCGTAGTTGTTGAAAAATCGAGAAAGATTGACTCGCGAGGAGCAGGCTGGTTTTCGTTCTGGTCCAGGGTTGCTCAATCTCACCATTCCTCTTCAACTTTGCCATCGATGACACTCCGAAAACAGCTCTGATGGGTGTAATTAATGGCGGTGTGGATCTGTTGCCAATCTGGGCCATCTTTGGCACCTTCGTGATGTTAGTCTGGCTGTAAAAGGTCGGATCTACAACGCGTCGATGAGAGCAGTTCTGCTCTATGCTTGTGAAACCTGGCCTCTCCGAGTTGAGGACGTTAGACGACTCTCTGTGTTCGATCATCGCTGTCTCCGAAGGATTGCTGACATTCAGTGGCAACACCATGTTGGTAATGCAGAGGTCCGGCATCGTGTATTCAGACGGAGAGACGATAATCCAATTGGTATCACCATCTTGAAACATCGACTTCGGTGGCTTAGACATGTATTTTATGTATGTCGTCCCAGAGAATTCCTCGTCGTGCATTATTTGCTGACGCTGGGACTGGTTGGAAAAAGCGGAGAGGTGGTCAGTGTATGACATGGTGTTTGTGGTATGAAATTGTTGTACAGGACTGGCTTCTGTTGGTGTTTCACGACTCCCATTTTGGGGTCCTGGAGATGGCGCGACACAGTGGCTAGAGACGTTATCAGATATGGCTCAGAATAGAAACCAGCGATGATCGTGTTGTAATTTTCTTTACTTCATAAACTAAGCGTTACTTCTTTAACTGAAAGATTTCTTTCTGGTTATATTTTTGCTAACTGAACTGTTTCTCCCACTATCAATTATTTAAATATTATTTCTCTCTCATACTCTAATTTCTTTTCGTTTTAGTTTTTTATTATACACACTTTGCATTCTCTATCTCTTCACAATCTCATTGTTATTTATGTAGCGCATATGTATTTGGTGCTTACTTTTATCAATGTTTAAGTCTTCATGAAGTAATATTATATATAACTTAGATGAATACTTACCGTCTTCATAATCACCAGAATTGAAGGAACATTCAAAAATGTTCAGGTTGTCAACTGCAGGCTTTAAATTTATTCAATGTTATTTATTGAATAAATTAACGACGACATACGTGATGCGATAACTAAATTCAGTCAACTATAGCACATACGAATAATGAATAGTGCCTAAGTAATCTGCTATTAATATTTACATGTTTAGTATAAGTGTATTCATTATACTTTGAAGTTAATTTTTTCCTAATCATCCATATGTATATTTTTTTATCCCCAACTAAATAAGACGTTTCCAATCTTTCATGAAATTCACTAAACTTCTTATCATAAAATTTTCTAAAATCAGGAAACCTATCTATCATCGTTATCTTATAATGTTCCAGGCATATAATCTGTGTTCACAATCTGATGTAAATATGGTGAAAGATTGGGAAATTAGTCGTTCTGATGCAGCGGAGTTATTGGGTTTTGCGTTCACTTTAGAAAATGACGAAACAGTTAAGCTTATAATTGATCGTGCTTACCTGATACGTAAATCTACTCATTCAGATAATTCATCCAGTGGAATTAGTGGGGGTAAGAAATTGTCATTATGCATTTCTAATTGCTCTGTATTAATTCGATGCACTTATGTGTCAGCCAATATTAAATTTTCAAACTACTTCTATAATATAAAACTAGGTTCTTCTACCTGCAGCTTTTTTTCATGTGGACTTTATAAATCGTTCGCTAATCATTATTGTTGAATTTTTTAAATAAATTAATAGTTGCTTCGTATCTAATTGCTAGTTCTTATCTTATGATTTACAATTATCGACTAGTGACTGTGAATAATGTTGAAATTACGAAATCTATTTAATTGATTTAGATTTGAATCGAAATTGAATAAATGGGGACTCATTGTCTGGAGATCACTAAAGCGTATACTTCTAAACCAAATTCGTTCTATCATGTAATTTTCGTAGATCACTTCGAAATGTATATCCAGCACTATTTTATTTATCGTCTGCTTCATAAGTTTCTGATCTCTTGTAAATGCAAAAAAAGTTAATTCAAGGTATGGTAATGAGTACCGTCAGGATCTGAAGTGAACCACTAATAACTTTAGTAAACTTACGTCAGTTGACAAATTTTTTTCTAATCTTAAGATTTAACAAGGTCATATGAATTTCGACTCTTATTGAAGTATCCTCTTTACTCCTACTTCTGGTTAAATCTGTATAGTCATCTCTAAACATATTTTAGTGATTATTAAATGAATATCTATTTATCTCGATGGTCGTTTTTTTTACATGATTACGTGTTGGTACAGTTCGTACTTTGAGAATATTGTTGTTAAGTATTTCATCATGAAGACGGCGAGAAACTTACGTTATTCGTCTATGATATCCTTAGTTCAATCAAATAATGTACAGTCTCTTTCAATCCCATATTAGAATTATATTCGATAGTTTTGCTAATTCTAAATACATTATATATCTATGTAGAAATACCTTGTAGACCGAACATCCGACTATTTCTGAGATACTTTTGTATAATTTTTTGTTTACGTTATTCTATAAGATATATCGGACCGATCAGTCATGTATTTCTCAAAGCTGCAAGATCATTGTATTTCACTTACAAAAAGACAGTAAAACGATGTGTTTCCTTTTTCATTTGAAATTACCACCTGACTATAGAATGCGACTGGTTTAATTATGTACGTTTTCAATGACGTTTCCAATCTACATATTCGTATGCAACTTAGGGAATGTTGTTGTTTATTTGAATATTCCTTGATATTTATTTTTCTTATTAACTTTCATGTATAAACCACTTCATAGTGTATATTGTCCTACATTTCCTTTTAAAAAAATAGAGCACTTATATGAGGGCCTTTTATATCACCTGCCGGATGTAGCTAATTGTTATGCTCATTTTGATGCAGAAATCAACAAAGTTTTTGGTCGTCATCGTCGTTCATTAATCGACTCAACTTCTACATCAGAAAGTGATCTTAATGATTTAAAATCAACACATTCTGTCCTTGTAGTTAATTCTTTGAATGCTACAAGCTGTCCAAACATTACAACTATCTCAAATAAAAAAACTGAAATATTGCCCAGTCATTTTGAGTGCATTGATGTTACAGAAATCCCACCAATTGAAACTAATAATTATTCTGAAAAATTGAAAGATAATGTCCACCTAAGCAACAGTCCGCTCAGAGATGATCAAAGTATTAACTTTCGTGGGCGTTATTCCGAACGTGGTATGTAAATTATTCAACACGAACATCGTTTTCCCGTATTTTGCTATTTTTTTTTCATTGATGCAATTTCTGGTTCCATGCAAAATAAAAGATTGTGAAGGATCGTTTCTTGTGTCTTCTTCGTCTTATTTCGTTTTAAATATCTATTCAAATAAGTCTGTAGAAATGTTCTCTCTCTGCTAAAATACAGATTTAGATATTTATATTTTAGTATTCCAAAATTATAATTTGAAGTCCATTATGTAAATTTGTAATAAAATATGTTTTTCTGCAAAGTTTTTCAATACCTGTACTAAATTACACTCTCCTTGTTGGCTTGTATTGCTTACATTTTTGAAAACATGATATCAATGTAATATTTTGTAATACAATTTCAATTCTACCGTATAAGTAAACATTTTTTCACTTTATTCTTATTAATTTCTCATATTGATAAATACAACTGAGTAAAATTTCAGGAATTACAAACAGGACTTTGTTCATAGTTGATTAAATCAATACAACGCATTGTGTGACTTTATTTATGTGTGCTTTAAAAACATTACCACAAGAAAATAAACACGTAGTTTCTATTCTTGTCGAAAACTACTAAAATTTGTTCATTTTTATTCGATATCTTGTCTTGTATTTACTTACATTCTGTTTATTTCTACATAAGTTACCTTTTATGACTGGTGTTCGCCCTCCTTTTATGTTCACGTTTTATATATCGTTTTCTCAGCGAGATTTTTATTTGACGTTTGTAATTATTTATGAGTGTTATGAATTTCGAAATTCACTTTTTTACGGTCTCATCAATCGTACATCCGTCCAAACACATTCTTGTCTTATGTATGTGTGTAAATTATATATATATTTATATATATTCGTGTTTTTATGCAAAATTCCTGCCTTATAACAGTTTTGTGTTTACTGGTGAACTGTTTTTTATCAACAATAATAAACTATACATAAGTCGTTTGATTTTTATCTACCGTTGCTTTGAACTTTGATTATTTATCATGTGATACGATGCATTTGGTAATTTCTTTGTACCTCCTATGGAAGTGATTTACCAGTTGAACATTGTCCCACCAAATCTGTGCTTGGCATGCATGTGTCTGTAGATGTGTGACTGTGATCTATTTTTATTTTTGTATATCGGGCATAATTCAATGGTATTGTTTCCACTGTAGTCCCTGAAGTACAAACTCACTAAATAATTACTACTTGTGAGACTTCAAAATACTGCCTGTTTACACGTATGTTAAGTTTTAATTATTTGAAAGTGTAGATAAGAATTCTCAGACTAATGAAAACACTTCGATTATATTTTTAGAATATTCACGCAACAAAATTATTCATTTTCAGCAATACAGCCTGCAAATACACGTGATGAATGTAGCCAATTTTTTGTGACGTAAAGTCATCCATAGTATTGCAACTGCATTCATCTGTTTTCTAGAAACTGAGCCCATTTTCATTCTAAACAGTTGTCGAGGAACAATAAATACTTTACCTTTGTTTTATCTGTTACATCGTAGATAGTTGTGCCCTCAACCCAGTATTTATTATTTATAAAATTTATCCACGAAACCATTCCAACCATGTCAAGTAATCAATTTTGGAACGTGATTGAAATCCAAGGAAATAAAATTATATCACTTTTCGCCGTACAACTTCACATTATAAAAATAAAGTAATATTTTATGAGATACATAGAAACTGAATTATTTCTTAGGTGTTCATTCTATGGTGAACAGAGCATTTCGGAACAGAACTGTTTTGTAATAAGCTCTAGATTTGTTATGATCAACCATGTTATAGATTCTCAAAACTACTATCGTTGGATTCATCGGCACAACGAAAGGCAATAATTAGATGTCTTCACTATGGTGTTGAAGGGACAAAAGCTGTTCTAACGAACTGCCATTCCTCTCAATTTGCTTCTACATTTTTTCCGAGTCTTTTGAATAGGTTTTTATTTCAGGGCTTCTCAGCTGTCTCCTTACTTCCCAAGTCCGCATTCCAGTCCATCGGCCTCCTCTGGGATAGGATGATATCGTAGTTTTACAATGAGAACCACTTTTCGTTTCCATATCATATAGATTAATATTCATGATAATTCCGGTATATTTATCATGTAATACCGAGATAGTTTTTGAATAGATGGGATACCAATTAAACGTTCTGTCAAATCTGTTAGGGAAATAATCAATTCTTTTAGAGATATTGTAAGTAATCGATCTTCAGAAAATTTAGGTATGCCTTAGTGGCTACTCTGATATGTCATAATTCTTATTAAACACTGACTTGTACATTTGTGTAGTTTGGAAAATGAACCTGTAATCATACTCCAACTAATGTCCGGAATTTAAAGTTTATTCCATCGAATTAATTATAAAATATATTACACTTATAGTATTTGCTTTTGATCGATTGTAATAAATTACTGCACTGTTTATTTGTTAAGGAATTCAGTAAATAGCTACATATACTTCTAAATGAATTCATTTTCTTTGCTAGTAATTATCAGTTGAAATATGTGCACGTAGAACGGATTGTTTTGTATATCTGACTCAAACTCTTCTTATATTCTCTAAGCATTAGTGCCATTGAACCTTCTGTAAAAGATTGGGATTGTAAATACTTGATACACACAAATGTTTGTTCTCGTGTTTTCTGTTTTTGTAATTACAAACAGTCGAACAATCACTAAATGAAAGCATTCTATGATTTGAAGATAATGTGAATAAAAAAATTTTAAGTTTAGCGTGTTGGTGTTCTAGATTTGTCATATGATAACCAGTTTACATAAGTCTAGACATTATCTTCAGGGAATATTGTATTGGGAAACTGAAGATTAATTTACTTGATCTTTATTGCTGGGGCTGCATAAAAACGTTAGCTGTGATACATAAAAAACATTGACTATCAGGCTAAAACTCAAGCTTTATCGTTAAATTTACGCGACTCAATTACTAAGCTCTGTTCAGTTTCTCTGCTATCATTTCACATTTCCCTTGACTACTGTTTATCTTAGAAGAACGTAATTAATCAATTTTCATCACACATGATTGCTCTGTCTCAGTCCACGGTTAGCTTCATCGAAGAGAATAGGTCGAACAACTGGACTGACTAATAATTAGGTTAATTAAACACGCGTAGGCAAACTGTTATTGATGCTAAGTTGATGAAGTTAAGCGAATACCTCTGTGTTGCAGCACTGTACGGAACAATGTTTTTCTGAGTTATTGTGTCAAAAATTTAATTTCCAATAGAATAACCCTTAAATAAGGGATTTTTGATTTTCTTACTTCCGGTGAAATTCTCTTACTACATTTGTGTTTGAAGTTTATAATTAAAGGATTTTCTACTTTCTGTTATTTTTTGTGACTTACAACAGGCTAAGCTTTAATTTTAGTGTTTAGTTTATAAATCTGATCACAAATTAAGATTTTCGTTCTTCATTTACATCAGCCATACAATCTTGTTTATTCGTGAATACATGCTGCTCCACAATATACTTCATATCCAGCAAATAAAACCCGTCGTATGTATGTAACTTGTTTTCGTCTCTATTACAGTACATTTTGTCTTCGTCAGCTTGTGAAGAACAAGATCGACCATTGATTTATGATACTTAGGCTATCAATTAAAAATGTCACTTCTGTTCCTTCCTTGTAAAGCGATTTATCGTTCATCTATTTTGCTAAAATTTAATTCTTGGCATAAATTGTAAACTTTAAATAATTATTAATTCTTATGTACCGTAATCAGTGATTTCCATTAATATGTTTTTGTTTGAAACGATATTTTATAATTAAAATACACTACTGACAAAAGGAGTTTCATGAATTTCTGTCCATAAGTTAAATATTATACAATAATCATATTCCTTAGTTTTTTGGTCCAGTAAGTATTGTTTTCGCGAGGTAAAATCAGTCACCGAATCGACTCATAACTTCGTTTATCCATCTGAATAACAATTTGGCACTCCTTTTTAGCAAACGATTAATAAACTAATTTTCTGCTCTGTTATCTCATATCCTACTGAAAATCACATCGATTAAAGCGTGAATAAAGGTCACTTATTAAACTAAACTAAACCTTTAAACATGTGAGACTACACTATTAATATGGTTATTTGTTTGTTCAATTTGCACAAGTTTCAAGACATTCACTATACCCATAGAAACTTAAATCAATCATACGATTGTTGTTGTTCACAACTGTTATTTCTAGTTTGTATGCTAGTCATACCAGTTTGATAATATAGTCATTTATTGTATATGATTATTAATTTGTAACATAAGCAAGTTCCGCTTTTCTGTTTGAAACCTGGTGTTATGTCTTCAGTTCATCGATAAAATTAGAATTAATGGTGTGACTGCACTGATAATTTTCCCACGTAGAAGATCCTAAAGAAAACAGATTCAAGAAGGTTTAGTCACTGTCCAACTGTCTTCTTATTGTATATTGTTGAGTAAACAAAACGAGCGTGTATATGCAAAATATTCAGCTATAACCGTATGGTTTAGCTAACTATCGCTTAAATGTTGAAAATAGAGTAAATAAAATTCACAATTCAACTAATAATCGTCCATACCTACACATCCATGTGAACTGAAAAGTACTATGAATTGTGAGCTTATCTCACTTGCATACGTTTTTTTAAACTGAGTATCTGAATAGAAACTTTAGGCTTCGTTGTCCAAAAGTGATTGCCGCTTGAAAATATTTGGCCAAAAAGTCACTTATGGGTGCACGGATGCTCGTTTCTCTGTATGGTCATCATTCGATTCCGAGAATATAATTTTCGCTAATAAGTTCAATTTCATGATTCATCACTTATAGTATACATATTTCTTGTTATATCACAATCCAACCTTTGCATCGATACCCATAATCTTCACTTAGTTTCATAGTTTCACATCAATAAGTTGTTTTGTACTCATCTGACATCAATAAGTAGAAGAAAACAGTTCTTTACCAGCTCTTTGCTTATCCCCAGAAGAATATAGCTTGTTTTTATCAAACTAACAAAATGGAAATTGGTTTTTAAATTATTTATTTACATACTTTATTATTATAATGTAGATCGTCAGCAATGGCAAAAGATCAACAGTCCAGTAATACCGTATCAATGGATATAGAAGAAAACTCAAATGTTAACGATGTTTTTCTAGAGAAATGTATTTCATTTGCTGAAATCACCTCCACTGACCGAGCACTTGGAATGATGTATCTTCAAAATTTTAACTGGGATCTAGAGGTTAGTGTTTTGTATTATATCCACGTTGTCTTAGTGAGTTATAGCTTGTAGGTTCGCTCTTAAATTTGCGTTCATTGTTAGTCTAATTTCACTGTTTATATAGTTTTGTATAGCTTTATGCATATTAAATTTAATAATGTAATCAGAAATAATTAATCGAAGTTTTCAACCCGATTTTCTGGGTTTTAGTACTGTTTTGTCTTATATGTTTAGTAACCTTTTAACCAATTATTCTAAATCTGACTTACTTAGTAAATGGATAACAACTACGATTTATTGGGGGAAATATACAGAAAAGCATGATTCCGTGAGCTTTTCATTTAAAGTCTATTTAAGATTACAGAAGCTTTATCCAGTTACAGTTCCAAAGTATGTAGATGTAAAAAACAAAACAAAAAACAACAACTGAAACCTTTCTCTTTAACGTGACCCTTTTTGCAAAAATGTTCCAATTTACCGTTTTGCTAACATTCTATTAATACGAAAGCATTTCAGTAATCAGGAATCTTGGTCATCATTCATATTTCAGAACCTCAATATTTACTTTCAACTCAGATGTACAAATATTTACTTTGTTTTTAGGATCCCTTTCAAGATTATTTACAGTATAATTTTCTGATCACTAATGAGAAGTTAATTGTGTTAAATATATGCATTTAATGTTCTCACTTTGTCAACAGTGCTTTTGTTGAAAACACAAACAGATAAATATAGAATAAATTTATTAACCTATCACAAAAACAAGAAAGGAAAAAATTACGTTTTTATTTTACTTTTTCTCATACTATTTTATTTGGACGTCAACACTAGGATTCAATTACATCTGACAGAACAAAACACTCGTCCTAAACTTCACTCCTAACAGTAAGCCATCTATTCTATGAAATTTGTGATAAAGTGTCCATATTGAGGTAATCAGTACTGGATGCATATATGCTAACAAAGACTGGTTGAAATTTAGTCCTGAACATCAAAATTAGGGTGATTCGAACCAATATTAATAATGATCTAAATATTATACCAGGTGAACAAGTTATTGGTTAACTGTACTCAGTAACTTAGTAGAAAGTGCGTTGGAGTTTGAAGCGGAAAGTATTTGGATCTGGTCCCAATTTGAACGTGGATACTAAAATTCAGATGCATCCATCTGATGAGTCTTGAATGAGGGAACTAAGTTCTGCTTCTGGCTAGGATTCATCTGTTCCATAAAAGGATTTAAATTGTGCCTAGATATGAATAAATGACTAGCTGTTTACTACAACTTCCAAAACATCTCAATCGTTTTGAAACTGAACAACTGATGTAAAACTGCTGAATTTTGTA